GCAACAGCTTTGTCATGCATTGCTGGAGAGCACCAGGGTTGAGACAAGTAGGTCGTGCCACTCCAGAAGGTGGATCCCAGTCACGTCCCCACCAGCTTCACTAGTTGACTGTATACTTCTGTAGTTGGAGGAGATCATTGCCATCATGACCACGTAATAGTGTGGGGGGGTGGTGTTTGTGTGTGTTGGGGTTTTTTTTCCTTTTTTTTTTTCTCCAGAGGGTGTGGGGAACTAACCTAAAAAAAAAAGGAAGTGCTACAGCACAGGGTACAAATACAAAATTTCTGGTCTGCAAACTTCTGGCTGGTACTTGCAGTCACAACATTCAGTTACTAAGCTCTTAACAGACATCAGAAGATCACGTCAAATCTTTGAACGCGTCTGCAGAAATACTCATTTTATTTCAGCCTGCAATTTTTGGGACCATTTAGACTGCTGCCTCTTCTAAATTTTATTCTTTTTTTCATTAACCCGAATTTCAAAGCTGTTGAAATAATTCCATTCCTCTATAGCAGTGCTTATTTAACCCAGCCTGAGTATGTTCCTCCAAAATTAGGCCAAGCACATTAACTGCACAAACTGCGCCACATGGTTCAGACCAGATGATCACAACAGTCTGCAATCTCAATTGCTTCCACACAGGTGAGAAGAGAAAACCAGAAACACTTTCCCTCTCCAAAGGAAACAGCTAACCCTTCAAAAGCAGCCTTAAACCTTTCTGCTATGGAGAACAGCTAGCCGAGAACCCCCAGCGTACACAACCTCATCCTTCAACCATTAACATACAAATACTAAGGTCCACACCCTTCAATGCAGACTTCAACCTTTAAAAACATATTTTAATCGCCTCAAATCTCATTGCTGCAGAAACAAAAAAGCAGAATAACCTGCTAACAAAAAAGTTCAAAGATAAACCCAGCAAAAGCTCAAAACCCAGGTTCCCCATCTCACACGGAAGGGCTGGTAAGGAAATATAACTGACCAGCATCTCACCGACAGCACGGAAAGACTCAGCTTAAGACATTCTGGAAATTTGAGACCCCATACACTAGAAAACATAACATCCAAGAGAGTCCCAAAAAAATGAGACTTTTAGAATATTTTTTTATAGATGGATTCTTCCCAAATCTATGGCAGGGGTCCCGTCCTGCCATGGCTGGGTGGCTGATAGCACAGATAAACGAGTAGCGTCACACCACACATCGTGTCTCAGCATCCAGGAACTCTCAGGTGTTCATTAAGGGAGCAATTGGCTTAAGTCATGGCTCTCTGGGCCACAAATGCCGCGTTCTGGTCATCCAGCCCACTTCCTGGGTTACCACCTCAGCTCTCCTAAATTCTGTGGTGCCTCTTTGCATGCATCCAAATGACAGTCGCCTTGGCATTTCTGTACTTATCTGAAATAATTGCTGCTTGCTGTATTAATCCTGACTGGGATGTTAACACATTCCTTCTTCCAAAGACAACAGAGTACTCTAAAGTTTGGGTGAGACCAAATGATTTCACGGTCACCTTTTTCAGATTTCAGGGGTTTTTTTTCACAAGTAAGAAAGCCCCAAAAATTCAATTTTGCTGAATGCTGTGCGCATCTTTGTGTTTTATTCTTCCCCCAGAAACAAGCATTTGATGATATCCTCACCAACAAAGCACCTGAGTTACTGAAAGATTTGGATACTTTCTTAGGGGATAACAACTGGCTGGTAGGCAAGTCTGTAAGTATAATTTTTGTTTCTCCCATTCCAAACAGATTGCCAGAAAAATAAAATCATTGACTGTTGAATTTCTGGATTTCACGCCAGCCCATGAAAAAAACGTCCCCGCTATTTTAACCCTTTGTTCTTACCAACACACAACTGGTCACTCAATTGCAAAGTTGAAATTGTTTTCTATACTATTAGAAAAGCGAGGCAAACAGGGACTAGGATCTGCATTTTCTAAACTAGTTTAGAAATACGTTGACACAAAACATTATTAGGGCAGTGAGGAGGGCGCACAGCAAGCTTGCTACCCTGGACGTCAGAAGAGCAGGCTTTGGCCTCTTTAGGGACCTGCTTGGTAGAATACCAAGGGACAAAGCCCTGGAGGGAAGAGGGGCCCAAGAAAGCTGGTTAGTATTCAAGGATCACCTCCTCAAAGCTCCAGAGTGATGCATCCTAAAGAAGAGAAAGTCAGGCAAAACTGCCAGGGGGCCTGCATGGATGAACAAGGAGCTCCTGGACAAGCTCAAACAAAAAAAAAAGGAAGCCTACAGCAAGGGCAAGTAGCCTGGGAGGAATACAGAGAAACTGTCTGAGCAGCCAGGGAGCAGGTTAGGAAAGCTAAAGCTCCTATGGGTATGTCAGTGATAAAAGGAAGACCAGGGAAAATGTGGGCCCTCTCCAGAAGGAAACAGGAAACCCAGTTACCCAGGATATGGAGAAGGCTGAGGTACTCAAAGACTTTTTTGCCTCGGTCTTCACCGGCAAATGCTGAAGCCACACCACCCAAGTCACAGAAGGAAAAGAAAGGGACTGGGAGAATGAAGAACTGCCCACTGCAGGAGAAGATCAGGTTCGAGACCATCTAAGGAACCTCAAAGTGCACAAGTCCACGGGATCTGATGAGATGCATCTGCTGGTCCTGACAGAACTGGTGGATGAAGTTGCTAAGCCACTATACACGAGATTTGAGAGAAGTCATGGCAGTCCAGTGAAGTTCCCAGTGGCTGTAAAAGGGGAAACACAACCCTCATTTTTACAAAGTGCAAAAACGGAAGACCTGGGGAACTACAGGCCAGTCAGTCTCACCTCTGTGCCTGGCAAGATCATGGAGCAGATCCTTCTGGAAACTATGCTAAGGCACAGGGAAAAGGAGGTGGTGATTAGTGCCAGCCCATATGGCTTCACTAAGGGCAAGTTGTGCTTGACAAATTTGGTGGCCTTCTACAACGGGGTTACAGCATTGGTGGATAAGGGAAGAGCAACTGATATGATCTACCTGGACATGCGCAAAGCATTTGACATTGTCCCACACAACATCCTTGTCTCTAAATTGGAGAGATATGGATTCAATGGATGGACCACTCGGTGGATATGACTGGACAGTCACACTCAAAGAGTTGCAGTCAACGGCTCAGTGTCCAAGTGGTGTCCACTGGTGTCCAGTGACAAGTGGCAGTCCTCAGGGGTCGGTACTGGGACCGGTGCTGTTCAACATCTTTGTTGGCAACACGGACAGTGGGAATGACTGCACCCTCAGCAAGTTTGCCAATGACACCAAGCTGTGTGGTGTGGTCGCCACGCTGGAGGGAAGGGATGCCATCCAGAGGGGCCTTCACAGGCTTGAGAGGTGGGCCTGTGTGAACCTCATGAAGCTCAACAAGCCCAAGTGCAAGGTCCTGCACACAGGCTGGGGCAATCCCAAGCACAACTATAGGCTGGGCGAGGAATAGATTGAAAGCAGCCCTGAGGAGAAGAACTTGGAGGTGGTGTTTGATGAGAAGCTCAACGTGAGCTGGCAATGCGTGCTTGCAGCCCAGAAAGCCAACTGTATCCTGGGCTGCATCAAAAACAGCGTGACCAGCAGGTCAAGGGAGGGGATTCTCCCCC